AAGACGTGGGGAACATCCTACTGCCGCCCCCCCCCCCCCGACGGCCTGTTAACTTACAGATTGCTCTGGTCTTGTAGAAATGATTTAGTCATGTTGCCTGCAAGTTCATAAGGATCAGTTTGCATTGTTTTGTAGTCACTGAGAACCAGTTATTTAACACTTACAGCTCACAGCAGTTTGCAAATCACAAAGTGATTAGTAATATTACCAGTTCCGTGTGATCCAAACTGTAAAGTAAGAGGGATTAAAAAATGGAGTGTTACTGTATACCAATGACTTATATTACCATACTGCAGGTAATTCCATTGATTGCTTCATGATCGCTGTTTTGGCTGTCACACCAACCTTGTGCTTTGATGATTGCAGTCTGAAGCCTTTTGGTTTAGGCACAAATTGCCAATCTCCTCTACTGTAGACTGTCCTTAGAGGAATGGAACACCATGGAGTTATAACTACAGGTTGGCTGCTAATTGGAATCATAAAAAAATCAAAAGAAAATGTTCTTTTTGGATTTTTTTCTTGTTATCTTACACTGATATGTGCTGCCTTAGGGAAAATGTACTGCACAACCATATAGAACCATTGCACCATTAAGTCACTGGACCTCCATGGTGTCTACTGATAACCTTGGTGTTTAACAATGATGGATACATGAAACATCATTGGAAGTTTCTAGCGCAGTGTAAGAGAATGTTTTGGGTAGTAAAACCAATATTTCTCAGACACTTGAGGTCATGAGTTTCATTGTTCATTATAATAAATAAGTTTCACTTTTTTATGTAGTTGTACTGATATAGACTTCTGCTTTTAGCTGTCTGGAATTTCACCACAGGGCACTTTCAGAACAAGTCATGGGCATTATTTTTACACCATTTTCAATAAATGTTATATTGTAAATGTGGCATCATTGCTTTCTAAATGTAAGTTATATTTTAATATGTGATGTATCAGATATAAACATTAGCCAAAATTCAATGTTTTTACCAGTTTGCTGAATGCTCGAGGTAAAATTGTTCATATATCACTGCAGGTTAAGTGGAAAATGTCTGAGCTCTCCCAGTCACTAGCCCTCATTTATCTGCATGTCATTAGTAAGAACTGTCTGCATTGCTCTATAGAAACCAATGACTTTCACACTTTAATTCCTCAGCTGTCATATTTCACTTGCATTGAGATGGCTTGCTGTAGGACAGAACAATCAACTCAAAATATAAAGGCCAACTGACTTATAGCATTCATTAACATTAACAGGCATTCAGTGTAATGAGAAACAATAGGGAAAGTGCAGTGGGCTTAAAGGATAAGTGCACTTTTTAAACAAAGTGCACTTATCCTCCCCCCCCTCCTAACAGATTCCACTCTCCCCCTTTGCAGATTCATACTTACCAAGATCCAACAGGCACATTTCTGTTACTGTTGTCATCCAACTCTGCAAGGCTCCCCCTGCGGGCCGCATTCTGCACATTAATCCCCACAATCTTCCATGGGGCTGTCTCCAGGCCGATGCGGCCATGAAAGGGAGACTTGCAGCTCTAAATTTCAAGAAACAGTGGAGTAGTGGCCCTCGGACCTTGGTAAGTACAGATCTGCAGAGAACGAGGGTGAGACCATTTAGGTCAGGGGAGATGGGCAAAATTAATAAGTATACTTTGGGGTCTATTCATTGGGTCGGCCGAACATGCTGAGCATGCTCGGCCGACCCGAAGCCACACGAAGCAGGCCGATGTACGGCGGATTTCAGCCGATGTACGGCTGATATCAGCCGTACCAGCCAGAAGTGAATAGCCGAACAGTGTTCGGCTCACTTCACTTCTGATCGGTCATTCACTCAGCTGCCCTTGGCAGCATAGTGAATAGACCCCTTTGTCTACGTACAACTTAAAAGATAAGTAGGCTTTCATTGAAAGTGCTCTTATGTTTCTTGTCCCCTGAACTTAAAGTAACCCACCGTCCCACGATCCAGTTGTATCCTGAAGCCTCAGCCTGCCACAATGTTTACATCCTGGGATAAGGATGCACCCATTCACTGGGAGGCAGAATTATAAGTTACATTCTAGACAATTCAGGCTGAGCATGTGATGAAAAATATTTACATAAGTATGTTGGAAACACACCAGCATATGCTGATATATATGATTGTATTATTTGTGTAATTATGTCTTTTGACCTGGTGCAATGTTAGTCTCTATGCTTATGCATACTTATCTATGATAGATACAGGAAGTTCTGTATGCTGTACATGCTGTATTCTGATATAATGTCCTTCTAAGTAAGTAAAACTTAATGCAGCATTCCTGAAGCTCTCAGTACTTCATCTAAACACATAACCAATAAAGTAGAGGTTACTATCAGTAAAAATCATGTCAAAATCTTCAATTGATCTAGAGATATAGACAGCTTTTATGCAGATCTTCTTGACCTTTCAACCTAACCCTAGGCCTGGCTCTCGGACCCTTTGTGATGTGAAAGCTAGCTTCACTGACCAGCAGGATGACTGGGAAGGCAAGGGTACGCTCAAGGAAAAATAAAGATTAGCATATATTTTCTAGCTGCCTATGTCTCTGGATCTACTAGATCATTTTGACATTTGGATATTTACTAAAGGTAACCTCTGCCTTTGAATTATTTGTCATTTTATTGGCTCAGTAATCTGACTGCGTGTGGCCAGCTGTAACAACCAATCAGATTAAAGGAGTTCTAAAGTCACAGCATAGACTATCCTGTTATAACATAAGCATTGTACATTTCTTTTGCTATCACATATAGGGTTTTTTTAGCCCCCTCTGTGATAGCAATAAAGTTAAGAGGAAAAAAAAAAACGAAAAAAATTTAAAGTTTCCCCCCCCCCCAAAATGTTTAAGTTACACATAAAAAAGAATAAAAAAATGTTTTTTTTAAAAAGTCCCCACCCCTACATACACGCATGTAAACATGCGTAAGGTGCGCATACCTGCGAAAACGACGATTGCGCCCATTACGCCGCACATGTTACATATCGCCGCGAACGTCGCAGTGAGAGCAATAATTCTAGGGCCATCAATCACTGATAACACTAAACTGATGAGCGGTAAAAGCTTTTAAAGCGTCGCCTATGGCCAATTTTGGGTATGCTAGTTTTTTGCGATTTCGCGAGTGCGCACGATTTTTAAGCTTGACATGTTTGGTATCTATTTACTCGACGTGACTCCGTCTTTTATATTTTACCAAAAATGGGTAATATTAGTTGTTTTATAACATAATGTAAAAACAAAACTTTTTTTTTTTCAAAATTTTCAGTAATTTCTCCTGAATATAGTAAAAAAAGAATGGTATAAAATTCATTTCAGTACTGTGTTGCATGACGGAATAAATGTCAGTCAAAGTACCGCAGCGCTGAATACTGAAAAATGGCCTGGATGGGAAGGGGGTCTAAACACCTGGTCTTCAAGCGGATAAAAGTAAGCTGATGTCCATCTGCCCATCACGTTTAACAACTTCCTGGATTCCCAGTGTGCTTTGCGTCTCTTGCCCTGTTGCTTGATGGGATTCACTCTCAATTTTTCAAGACTGCATATCCCATCATGCAATGCTTCCAGCAAGCATTGACAATGTTACATTGTTCAGACGCTGAGTTGTAGTTCATAAGGCAGGCTCTTTGAGAGATGTGACTGAAGAAAGGGGCATATTCACATGGCTGAGTGAAATTGTGTCAGTGCATTGAGGAAGTACATCCTATGGGCATTTTCAATTCAAGTAAGTTCACATACTTCTAGATCAATATGGTTATTAGGAGAGGGATAGAACTTATGGAAAATCAATATAGAAATACAGATTTATTTTTAGTATAGATACCCTTTAAGCTTTTTGTCATTTCAAAAAAGCCAAATTAATAATCATAGAAGATTGCAGAGTTATATTTACTGGTGCTGGGTCAGTATCGGGGGGCTATAGAATGAGGGACCTGACCCCAGATCCTCAGGAGGCAATAAAGAGCACGAAAGTGTATGTTTTTGTCCAAATCTGTGTTTGACCTGCCCAATCGTCCCTCTTCTTAAAGTGAAACTACATCATTCTATCCCTTACAGGCAAAGTAGGTGCCATCTTAGCCTCTATTGGGATTTTGGTGCTGCACATGTGATCAGCTATGACACCAGCCATTTGAGGGCTTGAAAGTTCAGTTGAGATCTGAGGCGTGTTCAGTTCCTTAGCCAAGCGCTGAGAAGCTGTTCTGCAGCACTTCAGTTCGCTGCAGCAGCTTCACTGAACGCTTCGGCTGCACAGTGCTAAGCAAAATGGCAGAGGATAATATTTTTGACAGCTGTTGTGGAACTTTGAGTCCCATGAGGCATTGCAAGACTGAGAGCCACAGCCATGACTCCCAGAGGCAGTGGCACGTTGGGATTTGTAGTTAAAGCACAGCTGGAGCACCGGAGTTGCCCACCCCTGGTCAGGAGGGAAGGAGAGTGGTCATATTGCACTAGTTCTCGGTCTCCAACAAACTGTATAAAAAAAATGCTTGCAAAATGACATTTCCCTCATTTTTTCCAGAATTAACTTGATACACGCAACCTAATTACTTATAATGTCACACGTATGTGGCTTCCAGCTCGTGTTCTGAAGTTGTTTGAGGTCACATAAGACATATGTCAGTCACAGAGCCTCTGAGATGAAGCAGAAGACAGGAACCTATCTGTCCCCAGATAAATAGAATGTTAGCAGCCAAGGCTGTTTGAGGTGACTGAGAAGGGCTGTTCAGTGACAAGGCCTGCGGTCATGCACAGTGGTGGCAGTACCTGCATTTAAGGCACAGCTAGGTTCCATCAGAAAGAGTTGCCAAGTCTGAATTTTTTTACACAAAAGAGATTGTTCCATCAGGAGAACCGCACCCATGGGTGCAGTGGCTCATCTCCGTGACTCTTAACATATAATTATTTTTGGTATAATAATAATAATAATCAAGAATACATTCTCCCGGGCACTCCTGAGGGAGGGGTGCGACGTTCCTGTCTGTTGTCTGTTTATATCAACCTCCATATTCCTTCACTCATTGTTTACTAGCGTCTACTGTCTCCATCATTTCCATCAGCCTATCATAGATCTCTCAACACGTAACAAATAATGATGTGTGAGTGGTTGCTGTCCTCTGAGAAATATTACTGCTATTGACAATGGAGTGGCTCCGTTTGTGCATGCTGAGCTAGATTGTAGCTGCTAGTAGCACACAGGCCTATAGTGCAATAAAGATGTGTCAGTTCTTTCTGTGCCCTTCCTAGATTGCTTTATGTTCTTGGTTTTTATACTGATTACGGTATATCATGGGTAAGCAACCTCGGCACTCCAGCTGTTGTAGAACTACAAGTCCCATAAGGCATTGCAAGACTACCACAGACTCCTAGAGGCAGGTAAGGTAGTCTCACCACAGCTTGAATGCCAAGGTGACCTAGCCCTGGATTATATGACAAACTTCCTCCCGTGCAAGATGAGTGTGGTCAGATTTGGCCAGACGTGCGGTTTGGGCAGGTAAAGAATAAAATAAGCGGTTGGGCAGTGGCTGGGAATCTCAGGAATCTGACTGCTGGCGCCCAACTTTTGAGAGTGTCAGGGCCATATCACATCACCGCACTGCAGTAACCAACCAATGCACTTTAGGTGTGCTGGTGTGCACAGAGCCATTTATGTTATATTACATCACAACACACCTCTGCCTTGCAGGTTGTAGTGTGTTACTGTGTGTTGTGCTGGGGTGCGGTACATAAAATGCAGCAGGTCCAATTTTAGGTGGATTGTGGCGAGTTAGGCAGCTCATATTAACATGTGACCTAATGCACATTAACACGCGTGTGTAAAAAACACACCTGAAAAGATCCTGACCAATGTGAATGGACCCTTAAAGTAGAACTGAAGACAAAGCTTTTTTTAGTTATGCATAGAGTATGGGAGGGTTTTAACCTCTGTCAGCTTTTTGTTTGCCTTCTGGGTCCCATCGGGGAGTCTTCTCAACAACAGGAAGTGAGAAAAATCTCTCCAAAGAGATCAAAGTCACCAGAACTAATTTCTCCATTGGAAGATTTCCCACCTATTCCTCCTCTGGTGATAACCCAAAATCTGGGATTTTTTTTTCTTCACTTTAGTGATAACGGTCACCAGGCTTCTCTAGAGACAGAGCCAACTGTGCCCGCCCCCTCCCCTGTCTGTCCCTTCAATGAGCACTGGAGGAATAAAGAGGGGAGGGGCCAATCCCTACAGGGAGCAGTGACCGACTGTCACTTTTGTCTGCAAGGAGTAGATCGTGAGCTGAGTGATCAGTGGTTTGTGATCCCTCAGCTCTCGATCAATAGAGTCAGCATGTAACATCTACAGTGTCACACTCCGGCTTTAAGTATTGGAAAAAGTACATTTTACTCTCCTAATACTTCTCCTTTAAGAATCAGTCCACCTGAAAGTTATATTTCAGATATAAGGCTGGGCACACACCTTACAACCATCGCAAGACTTTTGTCTTGCAATGGTTGTAAGGTAATTAAAAAAACGTACGATCTGCCTTTCTTGGACAGGCAGATCGTACTTGCGATGATCGCAAGCCCGTCCGATGACCGTAATGCCAAACGGGCAGTGTGCGCTTGAGCACACCGGCCCGCCCGACTTTTATCTTACGAACATCTTACTACACACCCGCCGAATCGTACGATTCTCGGCGGGTTTTGGAACATGTTCGTAAGATAAAAAGTCGTGCGACCTTACAGTAGTAGAGGTCGCACGGCTTCCACACACCTTACGATAATCGTACGATCGCGGGATTTCCCGCGATTATCGTACGATTATTGCAAGGTGTGTGGGCACCTTAAGTAGAGCCTGGTGGGGTGAGCCAGCCCTGGCGTCTTCTTTGATTTGGATACTCTAAAGGTGCCCATACACCTTGTGATCATTGGACGACACTTTTCGTCCGATGATCGAACCGCCGTACGATTTTTGTATGGTGGCCCCATCCTGCCCCGATTATTGCAAGGTTGGATCAGCGGTAATTAAAAGAAAGCACCTGGACGAATTGCGGTAATCGACCACACGTATTTTCGTCTGCGCATGTGCAGTGTAAATCGTACGAATTTTGACGTACGGAAATGCCACCAAACTTGCAAAAATTGTACGATCGACTGAAGTTTTCTAACCTACTGGTTAGTCAAAAGTCGATCAATTGTACAGTATTTGCTGTTGTACACTGCCCATCAACCGTACGAATATCGGCCGAAAATCGCAATCGCATACGAAAATTGGCTGATATTCGTGCGGTGTATGGGCAGCTCTACAGTGAGAAGATCTGTCTGCCATAATTCCCAACTCTGTTCCAGTTCACCTGGGAGTTTTGATGTTCCCACCAACCTTTGCAACAAGTAGTTTGAGAACCCCTCATAATGACCACATCAGGTGTGGACCCGGGAACTCAAGACCAAGGTGCACTTTAATTATATTAAATTAATATTATTATAATTTTTTAATTTTAATTGTTATTCTTTTCTTGCTGCATGATCTCCCCTTCTGTTATATGTGTGTATGTCAGCTGCTTCTCCTCCATGGGCCTCTTCTTACATCTAGGATCCTTCTTGTTTATCCAATGTTCCTTACATTTTCTGTTTCTTTTTCTTTCCTTCCTTCTATCTTTTTTCTCCCACTTCCCCATTACTTCTCAGTTTACACCCTCTGAACGCTCTTTCTGCGTCTCGGCCTTGGTTGGTTGCCTTCTGTGCCGGCATGTCCTCTGGTGATAATTACATGCCAGGACAGGTTTTCTGGGGTGTTGACTGGCACTCTGCCCACTTCAACATACAGATCGGGACAAGTACACGATGCTACCTAGCTGAAGAACTGTCACTCACTCCTAATTGTCTCCTAGCTCTCTCCCTTCTGATCCTCTCAGAGGGATTAACTGTTTCTAAAATGAAGACTCACACCTCTCGCTTCACTGTAATATAAGGTAGACAGATCTGTATAACTTGTGGTCTTCTATGCGTGGCGAGCTCGAGTTACACATTTTTTTTTTCCATTTTGGAATTTATTGAACTTTTTTTTGTTACCGGTGCTTGCTTACCTTTCCAATCAGCTTTTAGTAAAAACTCTGTTTCAGCATGCCAGTTATAGTTGTCACTGCTGGAAATAAAAATGTATCACTGCTTTGTTATACGCTCTTTCTGTTTAAATGAACCTATTATTTTCCCACACGAGACAGAGTAACAGGCCCACTACATAGCAGGCACTTTAAAGCAGAACTCTGGGTAGAAATTTGATGAACCTTTGCAGTGAAGGCAATCCACGCACTGCAAGCGTTAAGTGCTAGTTTTTGCCTAGGGACAATCTCAAGATTTCATTTAATTTTGGAATGAATGGAGAAAAAGCTATCTGTAAGGGGGTAGTCTTTCAAATAAACACAAATATGAGAAACATTCTTCCCAGTGACCATCACACTAATGTACCTTGAGCTGTAGATATAGTAATTATTAGCAGGACTTCCCCGAGAACTGAAAGTTATTTCACCTCCTTATTAGAACAGATGAGAAAGGCTCATCTATGCTGTATACTGTGCCTAAAGTTGGCCATTCAGTCATCATTGTTTCTGGT